TGAGCTCAAAATGATGTCGTTTTGGGGCGGAAATCAAGGTATTTTATAATTATAATATATCATAGGGTTATATTAGTTTTTATCACTATGATTTTTTAATCTTATAACTCCAAAACGACGTCGTTTTGAGCTCACTGGAAATATCTTTATCCCGAGTGACTGGATAAATATTTTTTATATATATATATATATATATATATATATATATATATATATATATATATATATATATATATGGGCTTATCATTTCTCAAGTTGCCGAAGATAAAATTATCTCCGGTTACTAAATTATAACCATACAAAGATAGATCAGTGGTGATAAAGGAAGAAAGAGAAAAAAAAATCATAACCATTCAAAGGTCAATCAATTAATATAAGGAAATAAATAAACAAAACGACGTAATTTTGGGGTGGCCGGAGATAAACTTATCTCAAGCTGTCGGAGAAATGTTTTTCCCTATATATATATATATACACACACACACGCACATATATATATACATACATATAGTTAGCGAGAGAGAAATATTTCTCAAGCAGCTTGAGACATATTTATCTCCGTCCACCTCAAAATTACGTCATTTTGTTTATTTATTTCCTTATATTAATTGATTCATCATTGAATAATATTTGTACGGTTGTGATTTAGTAGTTAGAGATAAAGTTATCTCAAATACCTTGAAAAACGATAAGTTCATATAATATATATATATATATATATATATATATATATATATATATATTTAAATATATATATATATATTTCTTATAATATTGTGCATTGCATTAAATGCACAATAAATGAGATGATTTAATTGTATTTTAAATTGCTTTCCTCATGTTATTTTTTCATTGCATAATTGTACTTTTTAAGGTGGAGAATTTAATTGTGGAAATAGCTTATGAGAAAAAATATTTTAAAAGAAAAGAAATAAATATCAAGACAACACATGATATTAGTACCCATAATTTTTTTAATAATTAATATATATGTATATTTATAGGGGTTTATATTTCTGCAGTTACTGTACACGCAGCAGTCAAATATTTGCCCTATATATATATATATATATATATATATATATATATATATATATATATATATATATACGTGAAAGCATTAAATGTGGGAATCATAACCATACACAAGATAAAAACATTAAATGTGGAAAATTATAACCATACACATATCATTGATGTACGTAAAGCGGTTGTAGAAATGATTTTACCATATATATATATATATATATATAGCAGGATATTCTTACACCGGTGTAAAAATTATAAGTCTTACACCAAATCTGAATGATCGACTTACTTGCCATCTAACGACTCAAATATATAATAAATTAGAATCGTTAGATATAAATAGGATCAATGATCAAGATTGAGAGTGTAACATACACTTATAACCCTAAAACGACGTAGTTTTGGGGTGGCCGGAGATAAACTTATATCAATTTGCCGGAGAAATGTTTTTCCCTATATATATATATATATATATATATATATATATATATATATATAAGAAGATTATACTTACAACCTATTTTCGTTTACAATCTCTTACAATCATATCTTAACCGTTGATTTTTGCCAATCAACGTTTATTATTTTCACAAATCAAACTCATTAATTTAAGGGAAAAACATTTGTCTTTTTTTTTTTTTTTTTTTTTTTGTTGATAACAAACATTTGTCTTTTTAAAGGATATAACTTTGTGTCATTTTAGATCACGGAAATCACCGGTTAAGATTTATTGGGTTAAACTTATTAATTAATTATTAATTCGCAATAAAATCCAAGAAATCATAACTGTTGAATGACGGAAATCAACGGTTAAGATCTAAAATGACACAATGTTGATAGTCTGTATGGTGACACTATAGGTGTTCACTGGTCTAGGCTTTGTGCCTAGTTTCTTTTTGTTGTGTTTTTGTTTTAATTTCCTATTATTTCCAAAAAAAAAAAAATGACACAATGTTATATCTTTTAAAAGAACAAACATTTTCCCCTTAACTTAACTATTAATTCATAGTAAATGATAATCGTTGATTGGCAGAAATCAACGGTTAAGATATGGTTGTAAGAAGTTGTAAACTAAAATAGGTACAAAACACACACACACACACACACATATAGGGTTAATCGGATGTCAAGTAACTTGACATAAGGATTTGTCCAATTGGGGAATCATATCCATATAAAAGTTGATCAATGATGCTAAAGGACGGGAGAGAAATATAATATCCATTTCCCATCAATTAAATAAGGAAAATAAATATCCAAAACGATATAATTTTTTGTGACAAGACGGTCAAGTGACATGACAAATAATTAATATATATATATATATATATATATATATATATATATATATATTTATATGGGCTTATCATTTCTCAAGCTACTTGAGACAATGTTATCTCCGGCTACTAAATCATAGCCGTACAAAGATGGATCAATGGTGATAAAGGAAGAGAGAGAAAAAAGGAATCATAATCATTCAAAGGTAAATCAATTAATATAAGAAAATAAATAAACAAAACGACGTAGTTTTGGGGTGGCCGGAGATAAACTTATCTCAAGCAACTTGAGAAATGTTTTTCCCTATATATATATATATATATATATATATATATATATATATATATATATAGGGTAATGTTTCTCTTATGCTGTTGCCTCATGCCATAGACTCTTCGAAATGTGAGCCATCAATTTTTTTTTCTTTTTTTATAGTGTGGGACCCACATGAAAATGTCTCTATAGGAGATATACTCTTATATTCAATGACATAAGAAAAGACAATCCCATATATATATATATATATTTGATGTCACTAAATAGGTTACTGATGTAAGGAAAGGTGAAATTCAAAGGGTCAGCTATACTCTGATCTTTATTTCATTGACATTGTACAACACGCGAGTCACTCATGGGTAGAGGTGGCAAAACGGGCTTCAAACTTGCTGCTTGCCAAGCCCGCCAGCTTGCCAAGGCTGAATTTTTTTTTTTTTTTTTTTAGTGTAAAATGTCACGGGCTTGGTGGGCAGCCTATCCCACCCAAACAGTACCGGCGAGCTGAATTTTCTAGCCCACCTTCAAAGGCTAGGCGAGCACGGGCCAGCCCACTTTTTGGTGTGCTTATGGCGGGCAGGGGCGAGCTACCCACTCTGCCACCTCTACTCATGGGTACAACACACCATCAAAGTCAAATTTCAACCACAATGCCAAAAGGGATAAATAGATATTGTGATAAACTTGACATAATTAATTATTATGCCGTGATAAGGCCCTTTTGTTCTTATTTACATGTTTAGGTTTACTGTTACGGAAGTATGGTCTCTAACCCTGATGAAGAACCATGTACAATTTGGTGCTTTCTTAAAAAGTTTGCTAACTTTCCATAGGAAGTCATTCTTTTTCTCTATTGAAATGGATCAAAATCAAATTGTACTTCCTACCTTCCAACACGAAGACAAATTAGAGAATCATGATAAGATGATCATAAAGTGGTAAAAAGAATCCCAAATGTAGGATATTTCAATCCTCTAAAAGGAAATTGAAACTTAGAGTTTTGATGTTAGCTTACTATATTAATTGTCGAAGGTTTCTTTTTAAACTCATAAAGTGGATTTGATCATAAAAGTGCACTGATTTGATGCCTATAACCCACTAAACATAAGTGTTTTTAAAGATTCTTTTATCGATACATGAGTTGTGTTTATAAAAAATATCAAAATTTGGATCTAGAAAAAACATAATTAATTGTTGAAAGAACCATAATTAGTAACTCATGTCATAGTATCCAAAAAAATAAATAAATTATAATAATATAAATATGAATAAGATATGTGATAGAAAAATATTGTTTTATCACAATAAGAAAAAGAATTTCTTATAAAATTGATTTTTCCCTTTAAATAAGGGTAATTAACCTTCACTTTGACTCACTAAAATATAAAATAACAATTATATTTTATATTTTCTTTTAATGCTTTTGAAAAGGGTAATTTATGTTAAATTTATAGCTAGCAAATAATAATGGTAAGTAAATGTAGGGAAATATTATTATTATTATTGGTAAGAGAAGAACCGAATTCAATTCTAGTAGTAAAATTTAGGAAAATATCTTCCGTACTCTTTTGGTATTAAAACTCAGTATATTACTTATTAAAAAGTGACACTGGATAAATTTCGGTATATAAGGCTCCCCAATTTTACAAGTATAAGTTTAAGATTGATTGCACGCAACTTTATTTTAAATTTTTTGCAAAGATTGGTACCAAAATAATAATAATAATAATTTGCAAAGATTTCTCCCTCTTAGTGCTTCAGTAAATAAATTATTATTTTTTAACTAAATGTATTTATTCTAATCACTCCTCTATGATTAATAGCATCAAAATTTCACTCTTTCCTAACTATAAATTCCTGTACTACTGAAGTATGCTCCAAAACCAGGTCATTTCCCTTCTCCAAATAAAAAATGGTCATTTTTCCCCTTTTTTTTGTTTAAAATTTTACAAGCATACCAAGTTGTGATTTTGGTAAAAATGTCCTAATGATAAGCACATTATATGACCCTCTTCACTTCATCCTAAGGCACCACATGTCTTCTACGTGTCAAAAATTCTTCCTTAAAATACAAGACTCTTTAACTATTTCATAATAGCTACTCTCTTTTTCTACAAAAAAAATTACTATAAAAAAGGGGGAAATTAGTAAAGTAAAAGAACAGAGAAAATAAAAATAATAAACCTTTTATTGCTTTGAATGATCAAAGAGTGGAACCAAAACAGTCAAACTAACAATGAATCTGAGCCATAAAATATTTTATCATCAAGGGCCATTTTAGCACATGGACCCTACTTTCTCCTATAAGTCCCATCACAGCCGATAAAATCCCTGATTCACTCTCTCTATTACATCATCCTAAACCTTTCTCATATACAACAGTTTCTCACCTCTCTATCTCAAGTTGTGAGTTTTTCATCATGGAGTTTGATCCAACCTTCCAAGACCTTTTTAGCTTTTTTGAAGAAAATCCCTTCCCAAATCCAGAAAACAACACTTTGTTGCAATCCAACACTTTAAACCATTTTGAGGATAATAACATGAATGTAGTACTTGACCAAAATCCTGCACTTGTGATGGAGGATCCTTCCTTCATTGTTAACCCTTTGTATGAAATCTCTACTCCTTCATTAGGAGAGTCTTTTGAGGCTACTCTCCAAAATGGGTCCCTCAACAATCCCATGAATTTCGTACCAAACAACCAAACAGATGCTTTGCATGGCCACCATAGTGATAAAGCCATGTGGGATCTTTCACAAACCACAATTCAATCATCTATAGCTTCTTCATCCTCTCAGCCACTATCCCCCAATTCTGATAAATATGGATTGGTGTTGAGGGCCACACTCGAAAAGGAGCTTTCACCCTTCAATAGAGACGATCATTGTGATGTTGAACAAAGACATGATGATGATGGTGAGAAGGTGCAACAAACAATAATAAATGTACAAAATGATAACAACATTAATGCTAATATAATCAAAGGGACTTGGACACACGATGAGGATAGGTACGTAGCAATATAAGCAAAATTGTTCCTTTTTCTATCTCTCTTATGTTTCCTTTGTTTTTGTTTGTTATTTTAATTTCTGTTCATTTGTGTTATTAATTTATGGGTTCATTTTTTCTGCAGTAAGCCAATACGACGTCGTTTTGGGACGGAAATCATGATGTTTTTGTAATTTTAATTTATTTTAGGGTTATAATAGTCTTTATATTTATAATTTTTAAGATTTTAATATCAAAACGACGTCGTTTTGGCAATAAATGCAGATAACTTCTCTGCACTGCGGAAACATTTTTTCCTTAATTTATTTATTTTTCTATTTCCATAGATCTTTATTGAAAATTTTTATTTTGATTTATGTCATTTGAGGTCTTTTAATGTTGAGAATTGATGAATATTTAATTTGAATTTATGGTTTTGTATAGGGTTCTTGTTGAATTGGTGGATCGATATGGTATGAAGAAATGGTCCCAAATTGCAAATTTTCTAGAGGGCAGGGCTGGGAAGCAATGCCGAGAGAGATGGCTTAATCATCTTCGCCCAAATATTAGGGTTTCTTCCCTTTCCATGATTCTTTTTTCACATATATGCATACATACATTTTTTTTAATGATGATAGTGAAGCTTAAACTTATTTATGCATATATATTTAATATAAATAAAAAATACCACATATATTTAATTAATTAATTAAATATGCAAGCAATTAAATTTTCACAGAAATGACTTTATGACTATGATTATTTCTTTCAAAAATTCATAAGAAACGTTTATTTCTTTCTGAGATACGAATATAGCGTATGGTAATGTGATTACATAACACTTTCTAACATTTTAGTCCATTTCTGACAAATTCTTTGATACATTAATTTGCTCTTCGATACTTGTTTGTTTCTGTCTCACAAAGCATAATCGTGTAAGAGACGATGGTGTTGAGGTGGATTTTTCTTTTTCTGATTCGTATAATTAAATAATATCTTTATTTAACATTTAATTTATTATGTGACATGATGTAATTTGATTCCATATGTGTGTATATATATGTTCTATAAAATTAGGGAAAAGTGTTTGTCATTTTAAATGACATAACACTCTGTCCTTTTAAGAGAGAGACAGATACATAAAAACAAATTTTATTTAAATTTTAAATTAAAAAATCACTCACTTTCTCTCTCTCATGATTTCTATTTTTTCTGTGTTTATCTTTCTTCGAAAATGACATAACTTATGTCATTTAAAATAACAAACACCAAACTCATAAAATTAATCTCGTATTCATAATTGAATTCCTTTTTCATTCACATTTAATTTTCTTAAATATTCAATTTTTCTTCTTCTTTTCATTGGTGTAATTTATGTGAAGTTGGTTCTTTTTTTCCTACCTTGTCCTCTGAATTCAAAGAGAGGAGTCAAGCTCAATTCTTTCCGTTTCTAAAACTTGTGAAATAAATTACATTTGTTGTTTCTTGATGATCATTAAATTTTTATATAAATTTATTATATATGATATTTTACATCTGATCCGATCCTATTCTTTAATAAATTAAACTTTTATAATTTGTTCTAGTGTGTGTCAATAATGAAAATTTATAATAGATACTTATTTCTTAATGACGCATTTTATTAATAGGTATGATATAATAAGATATAATTCTTTTACCAAATTATATGCCTTTTCTAGCATATCTCCAAGTTGAAACACATTAATGCACATATGTTGTTTCAGTTTAGTGATTTTGTTAAAATGACATAGGCTCACTTACAATATAAAAAAAAAAAAATTATATTTATCTATCTAATGTCATATATATCCACACATTTTTTGTTTTGTTTTGTATGAACAATGTAGAAGGATCCTTGGACCATAGAGGAAGACATGATGTTGATCAGATGTCACCAAGAAGTTGGAAATAAATGGGCAGAGATTGCAAGGAGATTGCCAGGTAGGACTGAGAACAACGTCAAGAATCATTGGAACACCACCAAGCGCCGCCAGAATACAAAGAAAGGGAAAAACAAAGCAATCACTTATGAAGGATCATTGCTTCTTTATTCATACATCAAAAGTGTCAGTGGAGAACAACTTAACAAATCCACAAGCAACATGAACATGTTAAGTAATGGTTGTAATAATCTAGCTCCTATGTTTCCATATGGATCCTCAAATGGTGGTTTCAGCTCACAAGGTTGGGCAACTAATCAAGTGTATAATCAGAACCATGCTTTCACTGGAAATGGTGGATACGTGCCAATGCAGGTAAATGTTGATGGATTCGCAACTGGGTCTGTAGTAGATGGTGGAAATGTTGACTATGGAAATCTTGGTGCGTGATCGAGAATGATATGAAGAAAAAGAAAATGGTTCTGATAGACATGACAAGAGAAAAATGTTAAGAATCTTGCATGCATGGTTATGCATTTGATCAAATCAGTATTTTCTTTGTTATCTTAAGTTAATATTAATAATGTGGGAATGTCATCCTGTGATGTTTCTATCTTCGTATGTGTATGTTATTGGAAGATATCTAGTCTTCCTATATATGTTTATTAGTGTATGATGTGTCCCACCACATAGTCTGTTTATATAAATTTTCTCTATCTCTCTCTATATATATATAGTGAGATTCTTTATGCAGTACTAAAGTATGTTGGATGATGTCAATCAAAATTTATATAATTACTTGCATTGTATTCAGTTCCCTGAAGTAAAAGATCTTCGTTACATCATGATTACATAAGACATTCTGGTTCGTATTGAATTTTTTTCTTTTCTTTTGCACCGCCATATTAAGTGTAGGTATAATTGTATAAATATTGATGTATTTTTTTATTATTATTATACTTATTTCTCCCAAAATTTTAGACACATCTTCAACTACAAGGAGAAGAATGTTTGGGTTTCAAAAGTCCTCTATATATATGGTATTTGTTTTTTTATTTTTTTTTATTTTATAGGCAATAGGGCAGTAGCCCAAAACAAAAACAACCAAACCAAAAGAAAAGTCAAAACATAACACAAAAATAAACAACTACCTATCAAGAGTAAACTACTACTCTATCAAGAGTAAACTACTACACGATCCCTAGCAACACAGCAAGGTCAGCCAAATATATAAGATGGATTCCACGCGGAGGTTCCTGTAGCATTAGCTGATCATTTTGTTCTCTATCATTCAAAATATAATTTGCTAGCCAATCCACACACATATTCCCTTCTCTATATGTATGTTGAATCCTAACCTGTCAATCTTTATTGAGTCATGTCCGTATACGAGAAACAAGTTGAATCCACAGACTGTTACACTTCCAGAAGTAAGCACAGTGATTGTACTAGATGAATCACTTTCAAGAATCACATTTCGGTATCCTTTATTCCACGCCACCTCCAAACCGCAAGGTATACCCCATAACTCAGCTTTATAAGATGAACAAATACCTAACCTTTTTGCAAATCTACATAAACACCTACCACTTGCATCCCGAATCAGGCCTCCACAAGCAGCAGATACAGGATTACCACAAGCCGCACTATCTGAGTTTATTTTAACATATCCAACCTCAGGGAATAGTCAACATATGCTCGTATTTATACTACCTGTTCCTGCTAGCCTGTCAACCACCCCCTCTTTGTTTTTTTATATACTAGTTCATTGGTAATACATTTAGTCCGATTCGAGTACTATCAGATTCATTACAGGCGGGGACTCTTGTAAGACTCGAACTCAATACCTTTAATTAAGTGAAATTAGCTCTTTATCACTTAAACCAATGCTTATTGTTTATGACCTTTTTTATTAGGTACAAAACAATTTCAAAAGAAGAAAAAATAAGCAACGAAAAATGGGGATAGCGTGGCACGCCTCTAGTATCACAGGATAGGTATGTAAGGCTTCATTCTGCCGGCCCATAATTTCTAAGTTATTGAACTAATTGATACAACCACTATATATGATTATATTTTGGGTAGTTCTTGCAAAAAATGTGTTTTTCATTGCTAGTTATACACTAAAAACTAAGGATTAAATTTGGATAACATCCACTTATATAGTAGTATATGAAACTATACATGGACAAGAAGGTACCAATTGTGTAATATAGAATAACAGCAACACTTACAGTTTCATCTGCAAAAGTGCCTCACTCAACCTAACAAAGCCAGAGATTTTGTGTTTCCATTATAAAGCTTTATTCTCATTCAACCTCCATTGAATAATCCCTTGTTGTTTTGCATAACTTTTTATCATTTTCTAGACCATATTTTGAATGTACCTAACCAAAATCTGCCTCTTGTTATCTAATGATCCTTCCTACATCATCAACCCTTTCTTTGGGATCTTAACTCCTTCATTAGGCGAGTCTTTTAATGTTGCTTACGCAAATGGGTCCCCGAAAAAATTCATCAACCTCGCGACTTTTGCAAAAGAGGGTAAATTAGGGCTCTTGTTATTGAAGGTCATTCCTCCATTATCAACTCATTTGCGTGAGTAGCCTCAAAAGACTCACCCAAAAAAATAATTGAGATATCGAAGAAAAGGTTGATTATGGAAGAAGGATCCTCCGTAGCAAGAGCAAGCTTGTGGTTTGGCACATTAAATATATGATCGTGAAAATAATGAGATGAAATAAGGTGTTATTTAGTGGATTTTGAATGAGAACAAAGCTTTGTAATAGAATCATGGTTGGAATCTCTAGCTTTAAGCATGGATTTTTGGGAAAAAGATTGAGAGGTATGTGAGTTTCCTTCAAAAGTTTGGATGAAACTCAAGGTAGAAGAGCTGATAACTTGAGAGAGACGAGGTGGGTGGAATTTTTTGGCCCTGAACAAGAGGGGTGAATTGAGTTACCTAAATTTAATGAATTTAAATTAGAGTTAATTTATCAATAATAACTTGACCAATAAAGAAAATAGCAATAAAGAGATAATATAAATAATTACGTGAGAAAAAGTTTAATCAGAAAAAAAAAATAAAACCACGATCCCAATATGATATCTCTATTCAATTAGGAGACAAATTCACTATAGTAAATCATACTCAATTTAAAGTATAAGAATAGAACTTAGTTTACCCTTATACAAGAATTCACCCAAACCTATCTCTAAATTTAGGTACCTTCGTAAATTATACCTCAATTGTCAAATCCCTGACAATTGTCAAACTCTCTTTCAGCTTAATTCTAAGTCAAAAGAATTAAACCCCAACTATTACTAAATAATTGCTATCCTATTGCCTACTCCTCCGACAATAGCAAAAAGAAAATAAAAACAAAGTGAAAGACTTTCAATTTTTCTTATATGGCACAAATGAAAAGATTTAAATAGTACACACACATGTAGCTTTATTAATAAACTTTCAGGAGTATTAATGTATTTATTTATTTTGGAAAATCGGAGTATTAATTTTTTTATGTATGTACGTAATAATATATTTTTTTAATTGTCACATGTCTTTTTTTCTATTTATGCATTATTATATAATTAAGTGTTAAAATTTAATTTAATTTTATGGTTTATATTTTTTATATAGTTGATTAATTTTAGAAGGATTACTATTAAATAATTTGACATTAATTCAATTTGTAATAAATTTTGTAATATAAAATGGTGTCATACTTGGGGAGTACTAACTTGCACTGATGTTACAATGATGTAGATTAAAAAGTCTTAAACAATATTGTACTGGTATTTTTAAATCACACCCATTATTTTTCCAACTGCTTCAGAAAGATAACTACGAGATTCAACTTTTGCCATGGCAGTTAGTAATGTGAAATAAAAAGGATGGCGTAGTAATGTGAAAGAAGAGTGCACATTCACTCTACCTGAAATTCAAGACTCTAAAAAGAAAAAGGAACTTAGAGGGTTGAGGTTATGTTAATTGTCGAAGCTTTCTATTTAAACTAATAATTTGAATTTGATCATAAATTGCATTGACTTGAAACCTGTAACCTTATGTTAATTGTCGAAGCTTTCTATTTAAACTAATAATTTGAATTTGATATTAAATTGCACTGAAAACCTGTAACCTTATGCTAATTGTCGATGCTTTCTATTTAAACTAATAAGTTGCACTGACTTGAAACCTGTAACCTTATGTTAAAATTCGAAGCTTTCTATTTAAACTGATAATTTGAATTTGATCTTAAATTGCACAGAAAACCTGTAACCTTATGCTAATTGTCGAAGCTTTCTATTTAAACTAATAATTTGAGTTTGATCATAAGTTTCACTGATAATTGAAACCTGTAACCTTATATAAAATCCCTCATTCACTCTCTCTATTACAACATCCTAAACTTTCTCATATACAACAGTCTCTCTCCTCTCTATCTCAAGTTGTGAGTTTTTCCTCAAGGAGTTTGGTCCAACATTCCAAGACGACCTTTCTACCTTTCTTGAAGAAAATCCCTTCCCAAATCCAGAAAACTGTTGGGCTTCCTCCTTCAATGCTAAGCCCAAGCCCATTTGAGGGGTTTCCTAAAAACCCTAACCCTAATTTCTACCTCCTCTATTTATACTCATTAGTTGTGGGTGGAGGCTAGGTCAGATTTGAGAGAACAAATTTGAGAGAATTATTTGATTGTTTGAGCAAAAGCTTTATGCTTTGCATTTGAGAGATCTCTAGAGAGAGTTTGAGTGAAACATCTCTAGGGTAGTTTGATTATCACCATTGTTGGAGAGGTTGAGTTAACCACCACATTGGTGTATTTGATTCGTTGTAACCATTATTTTCATAGTGGATTTCTGATCTGGACTAGGTCCCGTGGGTTTTTTACTTCTTCATTGGAGAAGGTTTTCCCACGTTAAATCTGGTTGTGTTCTTCTTCTCTCTCTCCTGTGTTTTTCGTTTTTGATTTTTCCGCTGCGCTGCCTGACCTGGTGAAGTTCAGGCCGAGATCCGAGATCAGGATCTTGTTGATTGACTTCCACACAAAGGCCCCTGAGTCGAGCTTGAGGGAACCGAGTTTTCCCAACAGTGGTATCAGAGCCCGAGTTCGACGGGTTCTGAAGGAGACGAGATGGAGACCAGTAGCATAACTCATGATGGAGATATGTTCAAGTTGACCGCAGACAACTTCACTTATTGGAGACCGATGATGGAAGATCATCTCTACTGCAAAGATCTGCATGAGCCCATTATCCTTGATGAGAGACTGGCAGGAAAAACAGATAAGGAGTGGGAGATCCTGAATCGGAAGGCGGTAGCCACGATCAGGAAATATATTGATAAAAGCCTCTTTGAGCACGTGTCCGAATTCACGAACGCGTATGAGTTGTGGACGAAATTAGAGTCCATGATTCAGAAGAAGACTCCCAGGAACAAAGCACACCTG